CGGGGGCCTCGGAGTGCGGGCACAGTGGCCTCTCCGAGCTCCGCAGGCTGCACTATCAGAGCACCCGCTTCTGAGCCCAGAACAGGTGCCAGGGGGAGGCTGGGGACTGCCCAGTGGGGCTGCCCACCCCCTTTTACTCTGTGCCCCCCGCAGTGGCTCTGCCCCTGCTCAGACCCACTGCAGGCATGATGCATCCCAGGTGCTTCCCACTGAGCTAAACTGGTGCCAATGGGCTCCTGCAGCCCTCCGGGTGCTCAGCACTGCTGCCCCTGCCCCAAGTGAAGGAGCTTGCCCTGCCACGGGCAGCCTCAGCTGGCAGTGCCCTGTGTGCCATGCACTGGGGAGCAGCAGGACCATCAGAGCCCCAGGCAGCGCTAATGCAGGGACACACACTTATTCCCATGCCCACAGGCACTGCCAGCACTTGCTGCACCCCTTCCCTGAGGCGTCCTGCTCTTGGTGCTGCAGGGTGGACTCAGCTGCTGCGTGCCCACTGCCCAGGGTGCCTGGCAAAGCCCTGGTGCTGCTTCATCTGCATGATGGTGCCACGCATTTGCCCCAGCCCTACCCCACATGCTGTCCGTTGCTACTCCCCAGCCCTGGCCAGATGCCTTGACCCATCTGGCAGCAGCATCCTCACAAGTGACATCCTTCAGCACTGCCCACAACACTGGGCACTTGCTTCTTCTCCCTGCCTGGGCTAGTGCCATCCTCAACTGTACCCAGAAAGCTCCTCAGCCCCAAGCCCCATGCCCAGGGCAGTGAGGTACAGTGCTGGGCAGGCTCTTGCCTTTGTGGCATGTGCCCTGGGCCCATGCAGAGCCCTGTACAGTGGCAGCTGTGCTGTATCATGGGCAAGCCAGGCTCCCTGCATAGCCTGCCCACCCCTGCCTAAGAGCAGATCCCTGTCTGCTCTGCCCCATAACCTGCCCCAGTGCAGGGAGGGTGCCCGGGAGAGTAGCTCCACCAGGACCCTTCCTCTCCTGCTGCTGAGCCCTCCCCTGCCCATTTGTCCTGCATGCATCTGCCACCAGCATCCTGACTCTCAGCCTAGCCTGTGTTGGGGACCCTGAGGGCCACCTGGGTCCGGCTGCAAGGTGTAGGGGTTCATGGGTCAGATGAGGGTAGGAATAGGAGTGTCCCTGTGACATCCAGCACCCTGAGGAGAAGAATCCCTGCCTGGGTGCAGGGCTGAACTCAGCTGGCATTGCTCTCCCGGGGTCCTGGAGGAAGGACCCTGCCCCGTGGGACTCCCTTTGGCTCTGTCAAGGCATATGTGTGAGGTGGCCCTGGCCCCACTGTTCCTGCTGGGGCCCCCTCTGCATGGAGACCTTCCTCAATAAACCCTGTGCTTCACATCCCACTGCCTGCCCTGTTTCCTCCGACATTGTAGAGGGGAGCAGGGTGCTGTGCTGGGCATCCCCCAGCACAGCAGGGTGCATGGAGCCCCACAAAGAGGGTGAGCATGGGGGAAATAAGGGGGAGGGATAAGGCAGTCCATGTGGGGACAGGGACAAACCTGTGCAGCAGTCATGTGGTCCCAGTGACAGGAACCCACTGGGAAAGCGGTGCGGGAAAGGGTTTATTCAGTTGGCACCAGGTGCAATTGGTGCAGGTCTAGGGGTGAGCAGGGGGCACCAGGCAGTGCTGGAGCAGGCTAGCTGCGCTGGCAGTGCCCACCCCTGCCCAGGGAGAAGCCATGGTGGCAGTGGCAGTGGAAGGAGCCATGGCTATTGTGGCAGATATGTTCGCAGGGGCCAGGCTGTGCCTGGCACTCATCTATGTCTGGAAAAGAAGGAAGGGGAGAGGGTCAGAGCTATGCCAAGAGGATAGTGCAGGGGATGGAAGGGGCATAGCGAAAGCAGCTCTGGGGGTTGGTGATTCTGAAGTATGAAGGCATCTCCCATTCCTGCAGCCACACAGCTGTGGCCCTGCCACCACTCATCCCCAAGTCTGCTGGATGGCAGATCCCTCCTTGTTCCATCGGCTCCTGCACAGCCATAGTCTGTCCATCCTTCTCCCCTGTGTTTTGGGCTGGCCAAGGGCAGGGCTGTGAGCACAGCAGGGCACCCCAGGAGACAGCAATCCCTGCTCCCAGGGCAGCAGGTCAGTGGATGGGCACCACTGCCTGCAGGTACTCACCCAGGCACTGGCTGGCAGCGGGGTCAGAGGGGTGGAAGCCTGGGTAGCAGTGGCAGGCATGTGCCCCAGGGGTGTTGGTGCAAAGCTGGCTGCAGTTGTGCAAGCCCTGGGCACACTCGTCGATGTCTGGTGGTGAGGAAGAGAGTGGCACAGGGTTACACCATGCAGGGAGAAGGCAGCAAGGACCTGTTGTTGCAATATGGGCAGGGATGCCTGCTGCACCCTAGCCCCTCCAATTCTGCTTATCTGGCTGCAGTCCCAGGGCTGGGAGCAGGGATGGGCAGGGGTAGAGCCACCCAGGGCCTCCATGAACTCTC